TATTATCTGTATCTTAACTGATATGGATAGATATTATAATATATTAAATATTTGTTATATGGTTATGGGTAATCCAAGAGAAACGACGTTGAGTCTGTTTTCTACCCATATACTGACTCTCTCCCAAGAAACAACGATCAAGTCAGTTGCACTGTGGTTTGTGTGGGTGATATTCACCATTGTAATATCACCCCACTGCTGGAGTTGATTGATCTGATTCTGGAAGCACGTGATTTATCCACGAGGTTCTATCATCAAAAGGTATGATCTGATGATTTTATTCCGCTGCATGTTTTGTGTTTTTATTTACAATATGTATCCGCACAGTTTCTTCGTACGGAAAACTGGCCATGGTGCACAAGGCTTGTTTGGTTGCATCTTTAATTCACTTCATTCGATAAAATTGTTCATTCTGTTTGAAGTTTTTTTTAAAAAAAATTAATTTTACTATACATATTTCCTGTTAAAATTTTTACTTTAGTAGCTTTAATAGTTGATTAAATTGATCTTGGAGTCTAAAATCTGAAGTTGGTCATTATTAATCCTTGTAGTTTATGGATTCAGGTAAGGAGGTGGGTTTGTCTTGCATGCGGCAGTCACATTTCTCTCTAACAAAAATGGCGGTGGGTTTTAATAATAGGTGGGGTTGCTGGTGGATTGTTTGGTGCAGTTAGGGTGTAAATTCAGCTTAACGCACTCGGGTCTAGGTTTGGGTTGGTTTACATTAGATTTCGCGAGCTTTTATCAAATTTCGAGCCGATTTATGGATTAGAAAATTAGTCTCAGAGGGAATTTAATTTAAGTCACGAGTTGAGCCAGTGGATCTAGGCTTAGGTTCTAGTTTAGTGCGGACTTAGGTCGGGCCTCACTACTTTTTTATTTTATTTTTTACTGAAATTTTATTTTTTTTTCCATAAAAAATAACACTAAACCTTGAATGGTCTTATAGTAGGCCGATAGGCTGGGTTGTAAAATAAATGGCCCAGGCCCAAGCCCAAGCCCAATCCCAAGCCCAAGCCTTGGATCCCAAACTGGCTCGGGTTCGGGCTTAGCTTGCAGGCCAATTTTATAGTTCTAAGTCGAGTGTAGTATAGAAGTGTAAAAATAGCTCATCGGTCCAAAGTTTACTTGAAATCCGCCTGCTGTCTGACTATGCCCGAGCCCGAGCTCGAGCTCAAGCCCTCAAGCCTGGGTTGTGAGTTTTATGGCCTGGCCCAGCCTAGCTCGAGACCTGATTTAGCCATACTTTGAAGCCCACTCAAGGCTCGACTGAGGTTCAGTGTTATTTTTAAACTATTTTAGTGAAAAGAAATTAAAAAAAAACTATTGGGCCTGTGCCCAGGCCTAAGACTCAACTTAAGGCCTGAATTTTCCTAGGGCTTAGGCTTGGGCTTGGGCTTGGACTTGGCCGAGATTTCATACGAGTAAGTTGCCTTAACTTAATTTTTGACAGGAGCATGCGAGGGGCGAAGGTAGGCTGACTCGAACCTATATCCGAATAGGTTGGACCAAGCTAAAATTACACTCCTAATGGAATGGAAATATGTATATGATAATGAGTTGAGTCTACATCAATGTTCGATTTTAGGTGAGTCAACTCAATGAGTTAAGTTAATGGAAGAAATTGTTGTAATGTCTAAAATGCCCCTAAGAAATAAATGGACATGTATTTGTCACTCAAAAGTTAATTGACCGTTTCTTATTGTACTTAATTGACACAAAATAAAAAAAATTAAGATAAAAAATATTGCAATTAAAATAAGGAGGATCTTAAAGACTTTACGGAATTAAGGGTTGACGGTTAACACCGGTTGTTCAGGGTGAGCCTTGGTTTTGAGAATTCTCACGTAAATTGTGTTGCGAAACTCTAAGATGGCACGTGACTTATTTGAACCCTTTTCGGTATTCGGTTTTGGAATAAGGGTGGATGTGCAGGTGGCACACAGGGAGGTTGCTTACCCCTGGCAGACCGTTTCCTTGGGGCAGACCACGGATGCCACTACTTGGGTATATAACTCCGGACGTGGGCATCCCTGGTAGTTACGGTTGGTAACACTTAAATATTTGACCAAGGGAGGGTTTCAAATTAACCGTTGCCATGCTTAGTGTTTGGTGAGTTAAATCTCTTTGGTGAGATTTCGAGTGTCACCTAAATTATTAAAATTACTGAAACTATTCTAATGGTTGTAATTTCTGTGTATAATTATATTGTTATCTCATGTTTAGAATATTATTATTTGTCTCTTAAAAAGAATGGTAGGTTGGTTACGTTTTCTTACTGTGTTGCAAAACTCATGGCATATATTTTGTTGCCCTGGCGTTTCATGCCAGATTATGTTGAAGAAGGGACTGAGGCTGAAATTGGAGCTGCTGCCAATATCGAACCTTGGATGACTTAGAGTCAATATTTTGTCAGAATAAAATCCTGTTATCCCTTGTATTAGGATTAAACTATGTTGTGACGTTGTGTGTGAACTTGTAGTTTTATTCTGTCGTTGGACTTTGGCTTTGTAAGAACTTAAAAGTTCCTAACTAGTAGTTAAAATTTTATCTAGCAAGTTATTGTTAATTAAAATCTTATGACGTTTCAAAAAAAAAATTTTTTTTGGGGCGTCACAGTTTTGATCCATGGAATTTGACAACAAAGGGTCCTAACAGCATTATTAATATGCGATTCAAAAAAGTGAAATAATTTGGAAAGATAGTCAATTCCATTATAGAATGCCGAAAATTCCATTTTATGTGAACTAAAAAAAATAAGTGTCAGACAATCTCAAAAGTCCAAATCATCAATTTTTATTTTATTTTTATGTGAAATTTCATAAAATTAAAGTATTCATGTAAATAACCAACTTTTCCAACTATTTCTCAAACTAACTCACTTTTAAAAATTGCAGGTTCAAAAAATACGATTTCACGGTGAAATCATATCTTCAACATACAATTTCATATTGACTTGGCCAACATCTATATATAAGTAAGTCAAGCGAATATGAAATGGCATCTTCAAAATGTGATTTCACCATGAAATTGCATGTTGAACATGCGATTTCATGATGGAAAAAAAAATATTATCATTACTAATATCATTAGCTGGTTTGATCTAGATTGTTGCATAATAAACCCATTCACAAAATCTCAAGCTCAAATCCTCCACTTCCATTTCACCCTAGGCCCATTTGGATCCTATAATGATTGCTCACCTAGGGTTTTATTGATATATCATCTTTACAGATTTGGTCCATATCCAAGAGGGCTAAACTATTTGTTTGTGTTTATCTTTTTCGTACTTAAATTCCATTTCTTTGCTGCAACTTATTCCAAGCAGTAAGCTATTCTATAAGCAGAATCTGAGGTAAACACAAACAAAATATATATATATATATAACAACACTCTGTTCAACCAAAATCGTGAAAGAAAAAAAATATAACACTAAATTCCACCAAAATCATAAAAACAATGCTTTCAAAACACTTTGATAGATCCAATGCTCATGTTCAATGGTGTAACCTTTGCAAGACCATCTTATTTGATTCCAAATCATACTTCTTTTTTGAAAATATCTTCCACATATGTTTCTTCTAATTAAGCTTTTTATGATTAAACCTTTTTTAAACATTTAAAGACTTCAGTGAAACCTATCCAATGAAAATGCAAAAACTAACACAATTGAACCACAACCAAGCCGACCTCAAGAAACAAACAAATCAAATGGTCTGTAAATTGTATATCAACAAAACATTAGCCACATATTAGTATCTGTCTGTCCCATCTAAAAAAGCTATGAATATATGCTGATATTGACGAATATAGAGATAGGAATTAGAACTATGTCAGACTCCCAAAACCAGTGGGTAAAAACAATTTCACAATAACTAAGAAAGTGCACCTTAATATGTATGACAAACCCACATAAGATATATAGTAATACTTTTTTTTTAGTGATTTTTTAAAAATCTTTTAGTCAAATTTATTTTTTTATTTTTTAGATACATATAATCTAAATATGCATATAGGTTCAATATTATCAATTTCCATTTAAAATAAACAAATTAAAAAAATGTACCCAAATAGGTCACAACACGAAAGCGAAGAGAAGAGGATATATTGCAAAAAAACAACTTGAGAGACCAGTTCTCTCTCCGTCTCACACACACACACACACACACACACACACACACACACACACGCACGCACGCACATTTTTTTTGAATTAACTCTTATTTTAATTTCCATGATAATGTATTCTTCAAAGCACATGTCACCATTAGATTTTTATCATTCAAAGTCTCAATTTTTTCAATTTTTTGTTGCACCCAACTAATTTGCCAATGTTAAAATGAGAAGAAGAAAAAAAAAAACAAAAAACAAGTCAACCCTTAATCTTACCCCTGGTAAAATTGTCAATTCAATTGAAAATTTAAACTTCATTCCATTCAAACAGAGATTGTTGACTTCTATAGCTCAGTTCCTTATTTATTTATATTTGTTTTTGCATTTTTCCAATTGAATACACCAAGAATCAAGATTATTATATGTGTTACATAGAAACCCATCTTCATCTCCTGCTTCTCAAAACATAGCTGGTGAGGAAATTCTCAAATCTAATTGTTTTTGTTTCCCACTGCACTATTATTCATATATGTGTTGCATATTTTTAATTTTAATTTTTTTGAATTTTTTTTATGTTTATTTGATATTAAATGATGTTGCCCATAACTCATGAGTTTAGTTATAAATTTCAATTTCTCTCTCATATATTATTTGACAATAGGTAGTATTTTGGTGCTCTTATTCAGTTTTCTGCCTCTGTTTATTTACAGTGCTTTGCTTGGATTATGATAATAAAGAGAAAACGAGAAATAGAGAAGTTTTGATCACAGCTAATTTGGATTGAACTAGTTTACAGAAGTAGTCAAAAAAATTGTGAAAGCAAGGAAAAAATCAGTAAATAAAGCAAGACCCATATCAAAAGTAGACTGTAAAAGAGAGCAGTTACCTGAGAGCTCGAGCTTCACCGTCGGACTGAGAGTGAGAACTGAGAAGTTGAAGTCATTCGCTCCGAGACTAAGCATAAGATGGAGACGAGAAACCTTCGATTGTCGGAGAGAGAGCTATTGTAGAACGTCAAAGTCGCCGACAGACCAAATGGCAAGGAATCGAGTTGAGATCGAGAGAGGAATAGGAGGGTTTCTCTAATTTGATTTTCAAATGGTTTCTCTGAAATGGGGTTTTGTTTCTCTGTATAGGGTTTCTCCTATTTGGATTTTCAAAGTTCACAGTCATGAGTATACTGCATTGAAATTGCATTTTCAACTCAGGGTTTCAATGAAATTGCATTTACAACACACACTTGCAATTTGTCACAGTGGCAGTCCATGTCATCGTGAAATTGCATTTTCAACATGCAACTTCAAGTTGAAATTGCATGTTGAAAATGCGATTTCAATTTGAAAGTGCATGTTCAATATGCAATTTCAAAAATTAGGTTACTTTCCCAAATAATTTGAAAAGTGGATCAATTCTCTAAATAGTTTTTTTTTTGAATATTTAAAAAAAAAGCTTCATGTTTTTCATTTAAAAAAAATAGTAAAATTTGTTGAGAGTCACAATTTTTCTAAGTATGGGGTTTTTAGAAAATTTTATTTATTTATTTTAACTTGTGTTTTTGTAGATGTCAAAATTCTTGACGCGCAGAGTAACCACTAGTGCATCATTGTGAGGGTTTTGCAACCTTACTAAGTCCTTGTCTGAAAAGGTGATGGCATTTTTCACTTTCGTCTTCCCTTTTTTCACAGTTGGTTGTCTACTCAATACTTCCCTCATGTCCTCTGCCTTTTTTATCATTCCTCTAAGCTCGTAGACGCGCTCAGGCTCAATGATCCCATGTATCACGTTGATTACGTCTTGAGGCGGACCCTCCAGTGGCTTTTCATCTGGTCCATTGCGATCCTTGGGGACAGGTCGTGCTTCCTCTTCAATGTATTAGTCCAAGTTGTGAGAACCCGAATATACAAATCAAGTAAATAATTAAATAATATTAATTTTACAATCTCAAATATTTTGATGGTGAATCCTAAAGTGCAAATTAAATATTTGGAGGGTCTTTTAATTATTTTAAGCCTAAAATAAATTTATGGTGAAAGTCTTTAATTTGGAGGTAAGATTTTTTTATGAAAAAAAAAATAGGGGACAAGTTAGTAAGTATATTTTGATATAATAATAATTATATTTTTTTAAATTAATGGTAAGAGGGGAAAAAAATAAAATAAAACAAAGGATAAAGGGTTCCTAATCAACACTATAGCTGCAACAGCAGTAGAAATGTGAGAGAGGAAGAGAGAGCAAGAGATAGAAAAGAGAGAGGGAGAGAAAACACCTTTGTGGCTCACATTATTTATAGTATGTTGTATACATAATTATGGTGCATGTGGGTGTTGTGAGTTGTTGGAAGAAAAAAGAACGGATTGACTGATTGGGATAGTATTCTGTGTATATTATTATCATGCAAAATTTTAAAGCGAATTGAGGAGTTAAGTAATTAGATAAGAATTCTGTACAGAATCACAAACTTTAAAAATCAAGAAACCATATCAAACAGACAAATTTTGAACTAAATTTTTTTATAGTAGATTAATCACATATGGAATTGCATATCTGAATTTTTTCATAATTTTTGGGAGTCAAAATCCATATAAACTGATGCGTTTAAATCTGTCCACAAAGCTAGTTTAAAACAGTAAAGTTCGGGAGTGCCGTTCTCTTTGGGTATAAATCCAAAAAATATCAAATCAGTGTCATTAGAACCGGTTACGAGTCTAATTTCATAAATTTTTTGCCTTGCGTTGATTGCTCATGTATACTAAGAGAACCGTTAATTTCTTTAAAGTGCTGCTGAAAACAACCTGTTTAGATATAATTAATTGTAGATAATTATTTTGATAAGAAAATCAAGTAAACCAATTGGGTATGAAACTTAGGATATATTAGTTGATATATGGAGGGTTTTGGAATTTTTCAAATAGCATGGAGTGGGTTTTTAATTTTCAAAGTTAGCGAATAGATTGGGAAAACTTGTTTAAACTTCTGTTTTATATTAAAGTTACTTTTAATTAACTTTCGATCGGAACCCATGTCTTGGGTAATTTTAGACCTTGAAGAACATTCACTTAGGTATTATTTAAGAGTAACGGTGAGTGGTGTTGAGTTGTGTTAGTGCGCTTTAGTGTGGGATACTTAGTTTATTATTCTCTTTAGTATTTTTAAATTAGTAGTGACGTGTAGTCTTCATACTTGGTTCAGGGCACTAGTTGGACTTTCATACTTTATTCAAAGATTATATTATTTCGTTTTCAGGTGAGTAGTTTCACGCTACATATTTTTATAAATGTTCCCATACCCTAAACTGTTGGAAAATTTAATTGTTGTTTCAGGACTAAACTGTTTTGATAAATTATTATATTATCAATGGAATTAAATTATTTCTAAAACATGTGTGAACTTGGCATACTGTAAACTATTTGTTTTGGTCTCATGTTTATAATGGTGAACTACCATGTTTTGCGAAAACTGATGTGTATTGATTATTGGGACCATCTGTGTATTTTAGTCCAGGAAAATTATTCCACTGTGTGTGGTGACTCTGGCCACTAGAAAACAAATTCGGGTTGGGCCGTAATGACGCTAGTGCTCAATGATTGTAAGGAAAAGACCTAGGCTAGGCTAGGCTAGGTGACCTTTAATCGGACCGTATTAGAGAAAAGGCCCAGGTTGCCACCCTGAGGATGACTCTTAGTTCGGTATTGGATCCAACGGGGCTTATAGCCTTGAGAACTGTGTGGCATGTTACTTTTTATTTCTCGGTATCCAGAAAATTATTGGTGTTCATATTGTAATCTGTTTTAAGTGGAAAATGTCGTTTATCATGTTCATGAGAGACATGAGTATTTTAACTGTTAAACTATGGAACCTTGTTTTTGGAACAGATTGTCTTTACCAAACTGTATGCCAATCTAGTTTCTGTGATATATATCTTATTTTGGAATTGAACCCTGTTCTCAAAACTATATTTACTATCTATGTTGCTACTCACTGAGCTATCAGCTGACTTAGTTGTTTATCATTTTTAGGTGTTAGAAGGACTTAGAGTGGACTTGTGGCGTAATGGGGACTCAATTGCATGGACCTCTAGGACATACATTTATTTTGTTTTAGATTGTTATGTTAAGTTTGTGCATAGTTCTTTTTATTTTTATTTTTTATTAAGGTTCATTTAGGATTATTTTGATATGTGGGCTGTTTATATCCCATAAGTTTGGATGGTATTGATTACGGTTGGTTATGCTGTTTATACTTGTGGCATGTCACTGGATTAAGTTTTGGTTATTTATTACTGGACTATTGTTTAGTTGTTCAATGGGATTATGGATTTGTGTTTAGGCTTACGTGTGCCTTGGGCAAAGGCCCTATGGGCCACAGTCGATCATACCCGGGTTTGGGGTGTGACAATTGTGGTGTCAGAGCTGTAGGTTTATCAAGTTACATATCTTGCATTTCATCATTTAGACGAGGTCCAAGTCCCTATAGTCCTTAGTAGTGTTTAGTTTATTTAGTTTTGTTTAAACTTGTGTTGAATCTTTCTTCATTTCATTTTGAAGGTTAAGAGTTAGCATCTAGATATCTACATTGTTTGACTATTTCTTGTGCGCCTTTGGATACATGCATTGATGTATCAACTCCATTACGAGAAACAGTAGTGTTAAGGGATGTTTGTAGATCTTGTGAGATAGAGATGAATGGTAGAATTTTTCCAGTGGATTTGATTTCTTTGGAGATTAAGGATTTTGACGTGATTTTGGGAATGGATTGGTTGACGAAGTATCATGCCTCTGTTGATTGTTTTAGAAAGAGGGTAGTTTTTGCTATGCCGGGACAACGTGAGTTTTTATTTCAAGGAGATGGGAAAGGGTCTTTTGTTTGTTTTATTTCTTCCCTTCAGGCTAATCGAATATTGAGAAAAGGGTGTCATGGTTATTTAGCTTGTGTGGTGAGTACCGAATAGCCAGAGCAGAGGTTAGAGGAGTTGCTTGTAATGAAGGAATTTGTTGATGTTTTTCTAGAGGATCTACCTGGTCTTCCTCCAGATCGTGAGGTAGAATTTTCCATTACCTCGGTCCCTGACACAACACTTATTTCTAAAGCGCCCTATAGAATGGCACCGTTGGAGTTGAGGGAGTTACAAACTCAGTTACAGGAATTGTTAGTCAAAGGTTTTACTAGGCCTAGTGTTTCACCTTGGGGAGCACCTTTGTTGTTTGTGAAGAAGAAGGATAGGTCTATGAGGCTGTGAATTAACAATAGGGAATTGAACAAAGTCACAATGAAGAATAAGTGTCCTTTGCCATGTATTAATGACATATTTGACCAATTGTAGGGAGCTTAGGTATTCTCTAAGATGGACTTGAGGTCAGGCTATCACCAGTTGAAGGTAAGGAATGAGGATGTTCCTAAGATCGCTTTTAGAACCCGTTATGGGCATTATGAGTTCTTGGTGATGCCTTTTGGTCTCATAAATGCACCAGCCGCATTCGTGGATTTGATGAATAGAGTATTTAAACCCCAGCTGGATAAATTTGTGGTAGTGCTTATTGATGACATCCTAATTTATTCGAGGAGTAAGGAGGAGCATGAGCAGCATTTGAGGGTAGTACTTCAGATCCTTAGGGAGAAGAGACTGTATGCAAAATTTAAGAAGTGTGAATTTTGGTTGAGCATTGTATCCTTTTTGGGTCATGTGGTGAGTCAAGATGAGGTATTTGTGGATATCACGAAGGTGGCGGCAATTGTTGATTGGCCACGACCTAGTTGATAACAGAGGTACGTAGCTTTTTAGGGCTTACTGGATATTGCAGATGGTTTGTGGAAGGATTCTCCAGTATTGCTTTGCCACTTACCAATCTCACCAGGAAAGGGGTAAAGTTTGAGTGGAATGATGATTGTAAGCGTAGCTTCCAAGAGTTTAAACAAATATCGACATCAACTCCAATCCTTGCCTTACCGACAGATGAATGTGGTTTTGTGATTTATAGTGATGTTTCACGACATGGTTTAGGATGTGTGCTCATGTAGTATGGGAAGGTGATTGCTTATGCGTTACGACAGTTGAAAATACATGAGAGAAATTATCCTACGCACGACTAGGAGTTAGCAGCAGTGATTTTCACTCTTAAGATCTGGCGGCATTATTTGTGTGAAGAGTCATGTGAGATTTACACTGATC